CCAGAGAGACAGTCTATTCTCACAGAGTTTTACATTCTGGTATAAAAATAAAGACAATAAACAAAAATATGTGAAAACAATGCAGTACTATTCATAATAGTCAAGATATGGTGTTGGTGTCCAGCAACAGATAGGTAAAGAAAATGTGGCATCCATACACAACGGGATATTATTCAGCCATAAAAAGGATGAAATCCTGTCCTCTGCAGCAGCCTGGAGGACATCATGTAAGTGAAATAAGCCAAGCACAAAGTCACAGATGCTCTCGTTCATAGGTGGGAGCTAAAAAAGTAGATTTCATAGAAAGAGAATAGAATAGTAGTCACTAGAAATAAAGAAGGGGCCAGGGTAAGAAGGGCAGAGAGATGTTGGATAATAGGTACCAAATACAGTTAAATAAGTTCTAATTATATTTTTGCTTTCCTGAACCATCTTTCTTAGTCTCCCAGCACCACAATGCCCAGTTTACTGCTCTGCATATTAAGCGATTGGTTTTTTGTTGTTGTTGTTGTTTGTTTTTTGGTCCCAGGGATTGAACCCAGGGGTGCTTAACCACTGAGCCACATCCCCGGCCCTTTTTATTTATTATTGTGAGACAGCGTCTTGATCAGTTGCTTAGGGTCTCACTAGTTGCTGAGGGCTGACCTTGAATTTGGGATCCTGCTTCAGCCTATTAAGTTGCTGGGATTACAGGCATGGGCCACCTCAACAGGCTTTCTTAAGCAATTGGAAGAGCACTTGTATTACGAATTTGGAGTAACTGCCCAGGCTCCATTTTAAGTGGCAGTATTCCATTCCTGCTGAAAACTGGCTCCAAAAAAAAACTCTGCCTGGAGTTCTATGATCAAGGCCCTGATCTCTTCACAGAACCTATCCAGTATTTCTTTTTTTTTTTTTTTTTTTTAAAGAGAGAGTGAGAGAGAGGGGGGGACAGAGAGAGAGAGAGAATTTTAACATTTATTTATTTTTTCTTAGTTCTCGGCGGACACAACATCTTTGTTGGTATGTGGTGCTGCTGAGGATCGAACCCGGGCCGCACGCATGCTAGGCGAGCGCGCTACCGCTTGAGCCACATCCCCAGCCCCCCTATCCAGTATTTCTGTTCTGTATCTCAGAAGTGATTTCAAACACTCATAGTCTAGTATGTGAATGAAATCTGTTGTGCTGTAATAAGAATGTGGGGCCACCTATCATCCCAGCAACCTGCCATCTTCGGTGGTTTAGTTCCTAAGCAACTTAGCGAGACCCTGTCTTAAAATAAAAAAATAAGAAGGGCTAGGGGTGTGGCTCCCCCTGCCCTTGAGAATGTGCAGTCTTCCCATGCTCCGATTTGTGAGAACTTGAAGTGAACTCACCCCTCTCACGATGTTACATCCCATGGTATCAGAGCCCACGTGGAAGTTATGTCAACTCCTGGACTTCAAAGTACACCTGAACCCACGAGTTCTGACAGACACTGTGAAAACCCAGGCTGGGTGGCAGGCGGAACCTTCAGCCGCTTCTCCCAATGCCAAGAGCTCAGGCTGGGACAGAACCTGGGGCCTGAAGCCAACCCCTGCCCAGGCCTCTGGCCTCTGAGAAGCTTCTTGTCACATATTTGGGCTGCTTTGCTCAGGCCAGTTTTTCCTGAGAACAGGTTGCTTGTATAAAGGTGCACCTTGAACTTCAGTCAGACTTGACTTTCCCCACAGGCCTGCTTCCACCCTAGCTAAGCAGTTAGACTCTAATTATTTTGGAACACACATGATTAATAAATCTCACCTACTAAAGTATATTTCCTGTGAGATTTGTTCTCATTTTTCTCTCTTTTGAAACATATGAACCTAAGAAAAAAAAATTCTCTTTGTATGGCAGTAGATCCCTGTGACTCATAAAATCATATTTTAATCATCTCCTTCTTTTAAGCCTATGTTACATTTAATACTAGGGTCACACATAACAAATCACCTCTTATTTAAATCATATAATTGGGGAGAGTTCCTTTACCCTCCAGCAAATAATGAAGAGAAAATGTCTACATGGTCTGTAAAGTAAAAAGTCCAACCTTAAGATTCTCCTTCGTGTTTGGAGAAGCTTTAACAAAGAACATTGATGCCTTTCGGTAGCACTTCCGTCACAAGATGGATGGGCATAGTGGCACATGCCCATAACCCCAGAGAATCAGGAGGCCGATGCAGGAAGTTTGAGGCCAGTATGGGCAATTGAGTGAGATCCTATCCTAAAATTTAAAAAATAAATAAATAAAAAGGGCTGGGGATGTTGCTTAGTGGTAGGTGCTCCTGGGTTCAATCCCTAACACTCCCTCACCCCCCAAAAAAGAAAGGCTGGATGAATGGATGGACAAGCATGAATGCCATCACCCGTCATTCCTCCCTTTTTCTAGCCCGTCTGTACTTCTGTCTCAGCCCCTCTGTTGTCCCTGAGACCCTGCATCACCAGTCCTCTCTTCCTCTTTAAACTTTCTTTTATCTGGATCTTTCCCCTGGGCCCCTGAACACGCTTAAGTTATTTAGTTCATTTATTTATATGCGGTGCTAAGAATAGAACCCAGGGCCTCTCACGTGCTAGGCAAGTGCTCTACCACTGAGCCACAACCGCAGCTTCTCCAGTTCACTCTTTAAAATTCACTCAACTGGCTCCTACCTCTGACCTGAATGTTCTGTGAAGCTCACTACTACATCTGAGATGGCCAACACCAACTGATAAGAGTCTCTTTGGCAATTCATTTCCTGCCTAGTTTTTATGGCTGTACTTCCTCTGCTCATTTAAAGGCTGGTTCTGAAATCTGTCCTTGACCTACTCTTGACTTTGATTCACTCCAGAGACTTTAACTCCCACCTGCATCCAGCCAGGCCTCTCCTCTGAGATTCACAGTCCTACATCCAGGTGTCTAGTCAACTTTCCTAGTGGATGATCTGTAAGCATCTGAATTAATTCTCACAGTCCCTTTTGTCTTTTTTTGTACCAGGGATTGAATTCAGGGGCATTCGACCCCTGAGCCCCATCCCCAGCCCTATTTTGTATTTTATTTAGAGGCAGGGTCTCGGCGAGTTGCTTAGTGCCTCCCCATTTCGGAGGCTGGCTTTGAACTCCTGCCTCAGCCTCCCGAGCCACTGGGATGACATGCGTGCACCACCTGTGTCTCTATTTCATTGTCACCCACTAAGCCAGAATTTTAAGACTCCTTCATTTCTCACATAATCAGTCACTCACTTAGTCCGGCCCATTTCTTTTCCCTCCTAAATCTTCCATTTCTTCTGTTTCATTTCCACTGTCTCTACCATAGGTCAGTCCCTCCTAATGTTCCCCTGCCTCCGCTCTTGGCCTCCAAAAAAGTTCATTAGCCACTCTGTAGCTAGAGTAGGACGTCATCTCCTCACTGCTCAGACCCTGGAGTGCAGAACAAAGGGCTGGTTTGTTCACAGTCCTCACAAGGCTGCTGGCTACCTCTATCGCTTCCTAACTCCATTCTTCACAATGTCATTCTCCAGCAATCCTGATCCCTCCATCCTGTCCTTCTGCCCGAGACACCCTTTGTTTCTGCTGTGCCTGATTATCCCACAAGACTCGGCTAAGTTGTCACCCTACTTAGTTTCTTGGTTGTGCCTTTGAGCTTCCATAATACCTGAAATGTAACAGTACTTGTTACTTTGTCACAGTCCCCAATGCTATAGGGAACGGGCCTTACAACACTCATTTTTATACCCGTAGTGTCAAGTGTGTACTGTTCGTTCAGTAGTTACTGGACTGGAATCACTGCTTAGCTCTACTGTTTTATTTTTTGCAAAACTGGGGACTCTACCTAGGGGTGCTGGAGTACTGAACTACAGCCCCAGCCTTTTTTTTTTTGAGACAGGGTCTCACTAAATAGCTGAAGCTGGCCTCAAAACTTGGCAATCCTCTTGCCTCAGCTTCCCAAATTGCTGGAATTATAGGCATGCCACCTTGTCCAGTTCCACTCATTTTTTCTTAACTCTTTTTTTGTAGTGTACAGGATTGAACTCGGGGCCTCCTGCATGCCAGGCAAGTGCTCTACCACTGAGCCACATCCCCAGGCCAGTTTCAGTAACTTTTTTTTTTTTTAAAGCCAATGAATATTTTTTTTTTTTTAAAGAGAGAGTGAGAGAGGAGAGAGAGAGAGAGAATTTTTAATATTTATTTTTTAGTTCTCGGCGGACACAACGTTCTTATTGGTATGTGGTGCTGAGGATCGAACCTAGGCCGCACGCATGCCAGGCGAGCGCACTGCCGCTTGAGCCACATCCCCAGCCCAAGTTTCAGTAATTCTTAATTCAAGTTTCTCAGGGGTTCTTGAGTAAATTAAATGCTTTTGAAAAACCATTATCTATGATGTGCTAGTGAATGAACTAGAGTTCCGTTATGCACAGGAAAGTTGTGTTTTATGTAAATGGATCAAAGGGTATAAATGCAGTAAGAAAAATCACTACAGTGAATATTAAAAATGTCTTTTAAAAAATGAACTCAAAGAATACCATGTAAATAACTAAAGTAGCTTGAGATAAAATTTCCAATGATACCAACATATTAGCGCCTTAAAAATTTCTGTCAGACCACTTAGGCAAAGGTGAAGGCAATGAACTTAGGAAAGTTATGTCATTGGCTCAAAAATGACTCTAGAGATAATGCAGGCACTGGGACTAGGGAACCAGGGATCGGGCTCAGTGGTAGAGTACTTGCCTAGCATGCCTGATGCCCTGGGTTAGATCCCCAGTACTCAAAAAAAAAAAAAAAAAAGTACATGTGAGAATCAAAAAACAGAATTTCCAAATTAATAGATTTGTATCACTTTTAGTATATTTGTGAAAGTAAAATAATACAAATAGCATAAAAAGTATACTGCATATTAGTATATTCAGTTAAGTGAAATTTAACTCCTTATGCAAACATTATTGGCTAAATATTCTAGCTGTATAGTAAGCAGTTCTTGTTTTTGAAAATGAGCTAAATAAAATAGGAAGAAAAGAATATGCCAAGCAGAATTTATCAAAATAAATATTTATTGACATTTGAATTTTTATATACACTTATTAAAAGCAAATGTGCAAATATTGGGAATACAAAAAATGACCTAAAGCCCTTTCCCCCCAAAGTAAGTATAAACAAATACTCAAGATCAGTAGTGCCACCACCAGCAGAATAAAAATAAGTCTCTTTGGATGGACACAAGTAATTATTTTAAACGTCATTCAGATATTCCTTTACAGTTGTACTCCAAAGGGAAAAAAAAGAGGCCAAACATCTCCAGAAAACTGTTATTTCCCTCTTAACTTATATGTAGCGATATATAAATATATTTCCATCTTTTTGTCCAGCCAGTAAGTGAGAATCTGTACCAGACCATTTAACAAAAGACCAATTTTGGTCAGAGATGGGTGGAAGGACAGCAGTACAATGACCCAGAAGTAAGTCCCAAATGGCAATTGTCCCAGAAGTCAAGACTGCTGCTGCAAAATGATCTTTCACGTCCCCTTCTAGGAACCTGGTACCAAGCAGAGAAGAGACAATTCAGATTACATGTCAAAAAAGCTTTTTTTTTTTTTTTAAGTATTAAAAAAAAAAACTTGATTTGTGGTTTTTTTTTTTTTTTTTTAAGTATTAAAAAGAAAGAAAGAAAAAAAAAAAAAGCCCCAAATCAAGTTCCCTAAAGCCCTAGAGCACCAACCAGAACAATTTCCCTGTGGCTGTGAGTGTCCAACCGGAGAGGACCAGGGGCTTGTGTGTGGCACTGCAGTCCCTGCCTGTCCTCAGGTTGCACACCGGCCCCTGGAGGCCTTCCTCCCTCTCTTCACACTAGCCAAAGCCAGTCCTTTGCAGTGGCTTTGCTCTTATTATTTCCTCGCCTGGGAGGCTCAATCCCCAGATCTCAGCAGGCTGGATTCCTGTCATCATCAGCCATGTCACTGCCATAAAAAGGCTATACCCAATGAGCCATCTGAAAGAGCACACATTTGTACCTGTCCCTTCTGTTACATTCTCTGGTTTTATCTTCGTAGCACTTTGCACTGGGTGAGATTATCCTACTGCCATACTTGGTGGGGTGTCTCCCCTACGAAACCATAAGCACCATGAAGCAGAAATCTGGTTGCCTTTTACCAGTCAGCTACCTGGGTTTGGATTCCAAGTTCTAGAATGTAAGAGTTATGTGATTTTGGGCATAAACTAATTCTATCAGCAAAATAAGGATAATAAGGGCATAAGACTGTTGTGAAGTTGAATGAAACAGTTCATATAAAAAGCTTATGGGGGGGCTGGGGATGTGGCTCAAGCGGTAGCACGCTCGCCCGGCATGCGTGCGGCCCGGGTTCGATCCTCAGCACCACATACAAACAAAGATGTTGTGTCCGCCAAGAACTACAAAGTAAATATTAAAAATAAATCTCTCTCTCCTCTCTCTTAAAAAAAAAAAAAAAAAGCTTATGGGCTGGGGTTGTGGCTCAGCGGTGGAGCGCTCGCTTAGCACATTCGAGGCCCTGGGTTCGATCCTCAGTACCACGCGAAAATAAATAAATATATTATGTCTAACCAAAAAAAATAAATATTTAAAAAAAAAAAAAAAGCTTATAAGAGGGCCTGGGGATCTAGCTCAGTTGGTTGAGTGCTTGCCTCACATGCACAAGGCCCTGGGTTCAATTCCCAGCTCCACCAAAAATAAAAACACTTATTAGTACAATCCATGCCACACAGGAAATGCTCAGTAAAAAAATCAGCTTTCAGCTGGGCACAGTGGCGTACGCCTGTAATCCCAGTGGCTCTCAGGAGGATTGCGAGTTCAAAGCCAGCTTCAGCAATGGCGAGGAGTTTAGCAACTCAGTGAGACCCTGCCTCTAAAATCAATCAATAAAAAGCTTTTATCTATTATTATCACTCAGTGACATATCATCAGCCCTTTGCAGAGCCGGTGCCTATGCAGCCTCAAGGAATATTCTCTGAATGAACAGAATGATATTTTTATCCCCTTACTGCTACCCAGCTCTGAATACCTAACCCTTTACTCTTCAGAAGGTCCTCGAGCCGGCACTGCCAATTAGATGCTCCTCCATCTTTCTGGTCCCAAACAATGTGAGCCCCGTGTGCGGCATATGGTACACCTAACAGCAGTCTCTAGTATTTATTTCTAACTTCCACGAGATTGGAAATAAAGGTGCTTTGTTATGGTCTCCTCCAAAATTTATCTGTTGAAATTTAATCATGATACTCGGAGGTGAGGATTTTAGGAGGTGATTAGGCCATCAGGGCAGAGATCACACGAAAAGGACAGTGCCCTTATAAAAGAGGTCTCAGAAAAGTTGGCTCATCCCTTCTATCAGATGAAGACACAGTGAAGAAGTGCCATTTATGAATAAGGAAATGGACCCTCACAGATGGAATCTGCCAGTGCCTCGATCGTGGAATTCCCAGCCTCCGGAACGATAAGGAATGAGCTTCTGTTATTTGTATGCTACCTAGTTTATGGTATTTTGTTATAGCAGCCCAAACAGATACTTCCCACAGGATTGGCATTAAATAGGTTTTCAAAGTTCGCTGAATAAATGAGTTTAAAAATTAACAGGAGCTGGGTGCAGTGATGCACGCCTGTAATGCCAGTTACTCAGGAGGCTAAGGCAGGAGGACTGCAAGTTTGAGGTCATCCTTAGCAACTCAGTGAGACCTTGTTTCAAAATAAAAAATAACAAAAAAAGCTGGGGATGTGGCTTAGTAGTCAAGTGTCCCTGGGTTCAATCCCTGGTAATCTCCCCTGTCCCCCCAAAAAAGTGACAAAGGAAATGCTTGACCAAGTAGTTATCTTCATCTTCAGTTTCTAGGGCAATTACTACAGTTCTCTCTTCACACCCAAAACAGCAAGTTCTATGTGTAAACACAAATTGATTTTTGCAGGTGGGATACTAGGGATTGAACTCGGAGTGCTCTACCATTGACCTACATTCCCCAACTTCTTTTTATTTATTTTGTGACAGGGTCTTGCTAAGTTGCCAAGACTGGCTTCCAATTTGCAATCCTCCTGCCCCAGTCTCCTGAGTTGCTGGGATTACAACTGTGAGCCACTGCACCTGGCTCAGTTATGGTATTCTTGTTAAAAAAACATTTGCAGAAGTGCCACAGCTGGCCAAGTGTACATGGACAGAGACTATCTTTTGGATCAAGCAGATTTAGCACAAGGTCCAAAGAAACAGGCATTAAAACCATCCAGGTTCCTCATCCTTACAAGTTATTAAAGCTAGACTCTACTCTGGATTGACTATATTTTTCCAATCCTTGCTGCTAATTTCACACATCAATAAAGGTAGTCTCTAGGACTTACATGTTCAGATGTTGCTTTGTTGACCTAACAATATCCACTACTTCTAAAGTTTATCAACTCAGAACCCCCGGGGTGCCAATAACTGTGTCATTAGTGTCAGTCAGTACCCACGTGTAGAAATGTTTATCAATAAGTAACAACTGCCTGCATAGTGGAGGCTCAGTCAGATTTCAAAGTGAAGATGTCTTCCTAAAGTGTATTTAAAAGTTCCTTAATTCAGGTCTTAAGGAAAGAACATGCACTGTGAGGATTCCACAGAGAATGTGCGATACTCTGTGTATTTAAAACATTTTCCTAAAATATAAAAATAAACATTTTCCTTACAGAAAAAAACAGGGCTTGAATACACATGTATTTTTTTGAGGGGTTGGGGTACCAGGGATTGAACTCAGGGGCACTCAAACACTGAGCCCCACCCCCAGCCCTATTCTGTATTTTATTTAGAGACAGGGTCTCACTGAGTTGCTTAGTGCCTCACTTTTGCTGAGGCTGGCTTTGAACTCATGATCCTCCTGCCTCAGCCTCCGAAGCCACTGGGATTACAGATGTATGCCACTGCACCCAGATTGAATACACATTAAAGAAAGAAAAAAAAAAGGCAATCTAAGCTCATACCGATGTGGATCAATGGATATAAGGGAATCTGGGAGTTTGATTCAAATCAACTAACTTCATCCTACTCTTAACCTTAATATTATAGTATTTCGTGTTTTCCATTCATTAAAGTGACACAAAGGTATCTCGTTTTTGTATCTGCAGAGTGCCTTCCAAACTGTCACAACCACAGATCAGCAGTCACATGCACTTGCCTTCCAGCCTGCCCCTGTGGGAGACAGTACAGCATCACGCCCACATTCAGGGTCGTCTTAGGGTTAATCACAATCAGCTGAAACACAGGGCTGCCCAACGCCTCCCTCTCTTTGGCACAAGAATGACTCAGAACAACAAACAGGAGCCCCTAATTTAAGGAAAAAAAAAAAATCAATAACCAAATACACCATTAAGAGCATGTTTGGCAGAGATAAAAAACCAAAGAATAATAGGAATGATCAACAGGCTCCACAGGACCCAGGACTGAACTACTGGCTTCATTTTTTCTTCAGACAGAAATGCTGACATTACCACCAGGCTGGACTCCCAGCTTCTTGAGCACAGGGCTCCCAATATGTGCTTTGGCCAGTCTTGCCAAGCAGGAATCTAACTGACCCATCGACTTCCTCCATGACCACAACATCTCATGCAAATTCCCATTTGTGGAAATGTTGTACAGGGAAGGAGGACACAGAAACACATACAGGGAGTCCTCGGGAATTACAAATACTCATCTGCAAGTTGTTTTTTGGAAATTCAGAACACATTTTTCCATAAAAACAACTTAAAAAATATTTTAAATTGTAGGTGGACACAATACCTTTATTTTGTTTATTTAGTTTTATGTGGTGCTGCGGATTGAACTCAGGGCCTCACACATGCTAGGCAAATGCTCTACCATTGAGCTACAACCCCAGCCCCTAAAAACCACCTTTTAAGGGGAGACTAGAGTCTTAGCCCAGACCATAATAGCCTATTTAAAACTCAGACACTATTATTCTCTACTAAGGTAATGAAAAAAGAAAACTACAAAAGATAAAACAAACAAAAACAACAACAAAAGATACTGTCACGTATGGCTGTTTCTGTGGGAAAATCTCACCCAGTTTTAAAGTTACAACTACTAATAATAATATTAGTGTGTGTATACATACATACATACAAATATGTATGTACACGTACAGACATATACATTGAAATTTCTCTTTGGGACTAAGACAGGGAAAATTAAACTGTAAGGTCATTTTACGATTAGCATTCATTTTCTACTTTCTGCATTTTTGAATGAATTTTTAAATAAAAATGAATTACCTTTGTATTTAGAAAACTTGAGAATCTTAAAATGTTAAAGGCTACCTACTTAACAAAGAGTTAACACATGATGGCCCACAGGCCAATTCTGACCCAACCCTTATTTTTCCTGAGGTAAGAATATTTTTCAGTTTGAAATGGTTAATTATATGAAATTCGGATTTCCTTGCTCACAGTTTTATTAGAATACAGACACATCCATTCATATATGTCTAAGGCTGATTTCATGCCATAATAGCAGAGTAGAGAATTACAACAGAGACACTATTTTCAGGGAGGGTGAAAATATTTGCTCTGTGGTCCTGGATGGAAAAGTATGCCAAGCCATCAGTGCTCTCTGGGGATGCAGGTAAGTGGTAGAGCACTTGCAGAGCACATGTAAGGTTCTGCGTTCATTTCCAGCCTACTAAACAAACAAACAAATAAAAAGTGAACACTATTTTTGAAGGTTGGCTTTATGTGGAACTATTAGTGTCTAACATCTGTTGCTGGGTTTTTTTGGTAGTAACAGAGATTGAACCCAGGGGGAACTCTACCACCGAGCTCCAGCCCAGTCCTTTTTATTTTTTATTTTTAGATAGGGTCTCCCTAAGTCATCCAGATGGCCTCATATTTGCAACCCCCTGCCTCAATTTCCTGAATAGCTGGGAATGTAGAGGTGTGCCACCTTGTAAGGCCTACCTAATATATTTATGTTAAATGTTTTAATATCAAGAAAGTATTAATGCTGTAACACAAAAGATATAAATTTATTTAAATGCACAATAGATAAATTCTAGAGACAAATCCAACCTTCTTGCTTCAAGGATGAAAAATATTAGGCTCAAGATTATGTGACAGATTTTCTAAGATCACACATCTTTCATGTTTACAGCGTCTGGGTGCTAATGCTCTCAGAGTCACCACTGAGACCCAGCAAGTCAGTGTCTACACGAGCACTGAGCCTCTGCTTGGGCTTTTAACAGTAGATGCTCATGTGGGTTAGTCCTCACTTGGGGACAACTAACTTCAACCTGTTTGGGTGTCAAAACTAGACTGTAAGTTAAGTCTATTAACAATGGTAAGTAACTACATTTGTTTCTATATGAGAACACTTAAGCCCAAGGGAAAAACATGTCTAAGACAATTTAATCATCCTCTCTAAAGGTACTCATTCATATCTCATATCATTTATGGCAATGTAGTCTGGAGTCATATCTCATAATAGGCATATTTTTTAGTCAACAAATTCATAACTGGGAATAAACATTTGCCTATAAGTCATAAAGCCAGGAAATTCAATAAGTAACTACATTGAATCAACACTTATCTTCATTCATAAATGTCATGAAAAAACAAACACTGATATCCAGTTTTGGAAAAACTGTCAACAGGGAGGGTCTGCTGGTGAGACCAACAACAGCATGTAAGTCAACGCCAAGTGGTCCCAGAGCAGCACTTACCATTTCAGAATAGGCTTTGTGACAGACGGAAGCTTGATAAGAATCGTCAATGTGCATCTTTTTCAGGAGTTGACCAGTTTTTAAATTCCTTAAGACACCAGAAATAAATAAGCTGATCACATTCTTCTGGCAAACTGGTTTTCACATAATATTATCTATCACAGCATAAATAAAAGGTGACCAAGGGTAAAACTAAGGGACACAACACTTCATTTTTGTTTATTCACAGATTTAGCTCAAAGTAGAACTATAGGTTAACTTTGCCAATAGTTTGATAGTTTAGCCTTAGTTAAATAGACCTATTTATCTGCTCCACCACTAGAGATAACTCTCCAAATTCCATGAGAACAGTTTTCCATTATCTCATTTTACTTGGTATTGAACAGGCACATGGGACAGTACTATGATTATGATTTTGCTATGCCTAAATTTTCCATGGGGGACAATGGCCAGGAAACCAAACTTGATTGGGTGAGACTATACCAAAAACAGATCTAGAGTCTACCTCCATTATATGTTTACACTATAGCTAGACCAAGTTAATGGAAAGAGAAGGGAAGACTGAGAGTAAAAAATGGAAGAAGAAAGTAGAAAAGAGGGTGAATACAAGGAAGAAGAACAAATGGAACATTTGTGGGAACCACATCCTGGCTTTGTTGAGGATTTGTGACTCTGAGCCACAAGATGAAGTCCAAGTTCCTTCACGGCATTTATAACTCTCATGAATCCAGTGCTGCAATACTACATTATTCGCCTCTCCCTTGCCTGAAATTTTACCAAGCTTACGACACTGTGCATACCCGTGGCTCTAGATTTTTGGTCAAGTTATCTTTCCTCTAAAGGCCAGTTCCCGTCCATTCCCCATGGCAGAGATGATGTCCCAGCTCCTCCAAGATGCAGGAACTCAATTTAGGCCCTCTTTCCTCTTATGAGTTCCCAGTCTTCTCCTCTCGTCTAATTCTAGTACTGTCCATATGCCTGATTTTGTATTTAATATATGCTATGATAGAATTTAACATGTTCATTCAACAAATACAGAACTTTCTTTGGTGAGAAACTGTGTTTAAAAACCTGAAGAAAGAAAATTAAAATTTCATGGGTACATACAAGGTTTTCCTACTAGGAAAACCAGAATACATTCATCCCCTACAGAAGCTGGCATATGCTCTATATTCAGTAATTGCTTTTTTCCCAGATCCCAAAGCATGTTGCCCAAACCTCTATCACTTTGAATGTGTGTGAAGTATAAAAGAATTTCACTGGAATTATACACTGTGAATTGTAAAGGAGTCTTATTTACTACTAGATTTTAGAAGCCTTGGGACCAGGATTCAGATGCTTCATTTCTACATCCCTCAAAGAGAATGGGACACCAGTAGAGATTCAGTTATCTTTTGATTGTATGAAAAATGTTGCTCAGCAAATATAGTTTAATCAAGATAAAATATTTAAAATTCCAGCAAGTTACCAAATATGGCCACTCAAATCCCAAGTGTAACATGAATCACTATAGATATCTAACAGATCAGAAGTTAAATAAGAAAGGTGATGCTGGGTGTGGTGGCACATGCCTGTTATCCTAGCACTCCGGAGGCTGAAGCAGGAGGACTGGGGGTTCAAGGTTAGCCTGGGCAACTTAGTGGGACCCTGTCTCAAAATAAAAAATAAATCAGGACTGAAGATGTAGCTTAGTGGTAAAGTACCCCGGGTTCAATCTCTAATGCCAAAACCCCCTCAAACAAACAAACAAACATTACATAGAGCCCAAAAGGTCAAATGATAGTTTCTTTAGATAACATGATTGATGTCATTTGAGTACTAGTCTAGGCAAGGAACTAGGGAAAGCACTAAGAACAGATGCAAGACATAGCACTTATCTTCAATTGCCAGAAAAAAGAAAAAATATATAATGTAGTAACTAGTAAGTAAAAAACTAGGGCCATATAAATTTAAAGAGGGAAACATCAATGAAGCTGAGATGACAGGAAACTCAAGGCAGCTGTGGGGTGAAGCTGTTCCTTAACAGGATATCCTGCAAGGGAAGCCTAGTAAAGAGATCCCTCTCCACTCCCAACCTTTGTGATCTATTACAACCCAAACGCCAAGGTCTACTACTAGAAAAAGGGCAGGAAAAAAAGAAGCTAAGGAGTACAGAGTACCAGAGAAGACAGTTTTGTAGTAGAGCAACAGGAAGCAGAAGGTGAAGAGAAGTCAACATGGCGGGAGTGTAGCTCAGTGGTAGAGTATTTGCCTAGCATGCACAAGCCCCTGGGTTCAATCCCAAGTATCCCGGAAAAAAAGAAAGAGAATGATTTGGTTGTTGAATATTGACTGATGGCAAGGAGACCAATTATTATATTATATTTAAGTCCTGAGTCAAATAATTAAGGTCTGGAAACAGGAGAAAGAATAGAAAGACAACTTATAGAAAGAACATTGTCTTCAAATAAGACTGTACACAAACCCTGGGAAATGCACCCAGAGTGGATACTGCTGTTCTAGGTGGCAGGGCCTCTGGAAATGGTGTCTCCTGGACGACTAGAATAATGAAGACAAATTTCAGAGGCTCTCTAGTGGAGAGAAGACAAAGTTTCTCTCAGTGGCCATGTTTTCTAGTTTATTTCCAGAGGGCTGGGGTCAGATGATACATAATTGATAGGGTGGTGGGTGGTGGTGACACTAATAATTTCCTCTTACTAAGACCCATTTTAGTCCCAAGGAAACAGTTAACAGACAAGGCTATTGAGTGGGAGAAAAAAAAAGTCAATATATTTTCCTAATAAATTAAACTTATAAGTGCCTATAGCTGGATATGGCTCTCTCCTGTACTCAGACAAAAAGTGTCTGGGTGGTTAGGGACTCTTCCCTATACTAAATTTGTTAATTTGGTTCCTATATGTTATCAAATATGTTATATGTGTTTTGTACATCTAATAATTTTGGATTATATCTTGATACAATATGTTGCAAAAACTCTGGATTCTGTTAAGTTCCTCTGAAAACACTGATTATGTTGTTTGCTTGTTCTAGTAAACAACTAACCTGGCTGAATTTCAAATGCTGAAATTCCAGTTCAGTTTTTTTGGCCTTACTTGGGTTGCTCACAGTCCACCCTGGGCAATGCAGTTTACAGGATCAGTCAGGTGGTTAGGTAATAATTATATTCAGAATTTTGGGTTTCCTCTTTGGTCTCCTTTTTAGGACTTTTCTCCCTTACTTTCTAGCTGCTGTGGCCACCTGAATTCTGTCCTTTGGTTCTTTAAGTTGGCAGGACAAAATGTTTGCTATTAGGCTTTTTGTCACCCAGAAATCAGGACTGGGGACTGCCCCTGGCTTAAAGCTTTAAGAATAAAAAACTTGTTCTGTGCCATTTCCTGCTTCTAGGTGAGAAATCCATTATCTTTCTTTTTTTTTCTTGCTCTCTGGTGTCTTCAGATGGTTGTTTTTATATTTTTTTCGAGAGTTTATAGTTATTTGAGGTAGGAAAATTCATTGAACAGAAATTACTCAATTATTAAACAGAAGCAAAAACAACTGTACATTTTTACAACAAAATTCCATTTATTTTAAACTAGTCTACTCTAAATGAATGCAACTCTCTTGGTAAGACAAGCATATAACATCTGACAGTTAAAAAAACCCACTAACAACAACCATGTTTACACAGTCTCTTGTCTAACTGTCACTGTCCTGTACAATCAGAGGCATACCCCAACTGAATGATGGGACCTCAAGGGAAGGCTTACCAGATAACAATGTTGTTCATGATAGTAGTACCAAGCAGAGCTTCCTGCATCCCTTGGACCTCACCAAAAGTAAGTATAGTCTCTTCAGGGGGCATCAAAAACTGTTTTTCTTTGCTTCTGAATTTAAAAAGTATTAAAAATTAGTACGGTACACTAAAGCAGTTTTTTTAAATTTTGTACCAGGGATTGAACTCAGGGGCATTCAACCACTGAGCCACATCCCAGCCCTCTTTTGTATTTTTTTTAATTTAGAGACAGGGTCTCACTGAGTTGTTTAGTACCTCACTTTTGCTGTGGCTAACTTTGATCTCCCGATCCTCCTGTCTCAGCCTCCCAAGCCGCTGGGATTACAGGCGTGCCACCATGCCCGGCAACAAAGCAATTTCTAAGAAGTCCTTCACACATTATTGAATTAACATAATAAAATTTAAGCTAACACTGAAAAAAAAATTAAGCAGATAACTGTATATTCTAAACTTCCTACAATGAATTCACATTTCTTTCATATTAGCTACTTGGGATGTTGCAAGTATCTCAATATCATCATATCCAATATTAAGCTCAAACTTTCTCTTTAAATCTCATTTTTTTTCACATTTTTATCTCAACAACTATACAACCATCTACCCAGATGACCATCCCTGAAACCTGCACATTATTCTTTTCTCCTTCCTCTCAATCTAGTCACTCACCATGTCTTAGTAACTTTATTATCTCATTTCTCACAAATTTGTCTGCTTCTTCCCATCTCTACTAAGACTTTTGTAACTTAAGCAAACACTTATTTCTGTTTCGTTTTATTTTGCAGTCCTAGGGATTGAACCCAGGAGTGCTCTACAATTGAGCTACATCACCAGGTTGTTTTATTCTTTTGTTTGAGACTCTCGCTACATTGCTGAGGCTGGCCTTGAACTTACAATCTTCTTGCCTGAGCCTCCTAAGTCACTGGGATTATAGGCATAGGTCACTGCGCCAGCTAATTATTTGTCTCTTGCCTAGAATAATGCCACAGGTCATGAATAAATAAGACAAATAAGGTCCTTGCCATTTGTTATTAGGAAACATGAATAATAATAGTGTAACCAGCTGCAGGTACAGCTCAGTGGTAGAATATACATGTTAAGCATGCACAAGGCCCAGGGGTCAATCCCCAGCACAAAAATAAAATCAAAGAAAAAAAAAAAAAAGAAAGAAAGAAAAGAAAAAGTGTAATAAGGATATGGCAAAGAAGATGTCCAAGTTCAGTTTTCTACAGGTTGAATTGAGGTGTCCTCAAGATGTTTAAAAAACAGGCACAAAGGCCTAGAGCTGGAGAAAGCACAGAACTGAAAATGGATGTTTCCAAGTAGTCAAGTCAGCATCTGGAAGGTCACTGGAGCACTGGACACCAAATGTGTGGAATGAGGACTGGGTCCAGGACTTTGAGGTGGTACTTTGGACATGAAACCCAGGGCCTCACACATGCTAGGCAGGCACCTACCACTGAGCTACATCCCCAGCCTGGCTTTGAGGTTCTTCTTCTTCTTGTTCTTTTTTTGGTATCAGCGATGTTCAGCCACTGAGCCACATCCCTGGCCCTTTTCATATTGTATTTAGAGACAGGATCTTGTCGAGTTGCTTAGGGCCTTGCTATAATTGCCGAGGCTGGCTCTGAACTCTCAATTCTCCTGCCTCAGCCTCCCGAGCTGCTGGGATTACAGGCATGCACCACTGAGCCTGGCTGAGGTATATCTAATACGTAAGGGGAATGCAGAGATTTCAAAGAAGTCTGAAGAAAAATCAAACTCAATTCACTTATGTCCCCCGCTCTGCTGACTTCTTTCCTGTCATGTCTGGCCTCTGCTTTTCTGACTTGCTTCTAGGTGGTAACCTGGCACTGAGACATTCAATACAGAAAAACAGGATCCTAATCATCTCCTTTCTCTGAAACCTGTGAGAAAATGCTTCTCCATCTAATAGTCACAATCAACCAATGCTTTGCTTACCTTCCGTCCTCTGCAAAAGTCATGATTTCCACTTGCTGATCACAAAGGGTCCCACTGCTACTAACGAGCCTCCTCCCTGTCAGGCCAAGCACAGCTTTTATGTTTCCAGATTTCAGTAGTACTTGTTTTTCACTTTCATCCTCAGAGGAACAAAGTAATGCCCTGAGGAAAAATGGGGAAAAACCCAGGAGTAAGCCCTCTTTTTTTGGTACTGGGGATTAAACCCAGGGGTACACCACTGAGCCACATCCCCAATCCTTTTTATTTATTTATTTTTAATTCTTTTTTTTAGTTGTAGATGGACACAATATCTTTATTTTTATTTATTTTTATGTGGTGCTGTGGACTGAACCCAGGGCCTCATGCATGCGAGGCAAGTGCTCTACCACTGAGCTACAACCCTAGCCCGATTTTTCTTTTTTTTTTTTTTTTTAAACAAATCTCTCTTTAAATCTAAATCCAAATTCTTTTTTGAGACTGAAGCCTAGAGCTGGCTATATACCTGTAATTGTAGCCACTATGAGATTGAGGCAGGAGGATCCCAGGGTAAGGCCAGCCTGGGCTATATAGTGAGATCCCCATCTCAAAAAACAAGACCAACCAACCAACCAAAAGCCTAAGCCTAGGTGATAACCTCCACTCAAAACAAGATGACAGAGACAAAGATAAAGGGAAAAAAAGAAAAAGAAATCCCCTTGGGAATTACCTGATTTCTCTGATCTCCAAACTTCCCAAAGCCACACATACAAGATTACAAACATCGGGAACTGGAACTATTTGTAACACAGGTACCTAAATAAAACAAAGCACCCTCAAATTATATTTGGTTGTTTAACTTTAATCTAAATGTTCCAAAATTTATCACATTCTTTTATATTCTCACTATACCAGGACTGTTTCCGACATGTGAACAAATGGGAATAGGTTCACATTTGTTGGTCTTGTTTTTTGTAAGTTGTAAACCTATGTATACTATTTGCATAAGTTTAGTTGGCATTTCCTTCAGCGGAAAAAAAAAAAAAATTCCTTTTTTTTGAGATAGGTTTTGATGTGTTGCTCAGACTGGCCTTGATCCTTTGAGCTCAAGTGTCCTCCTGTCGCAGCCCCTCCAGTAGTTGGGACTGCAGGCGCACACCAGTGTGCCCACTGAGTTAGCATTTATTTAGTGCAATTTATACTTATGATAACGGGAATAATTAAGTAAATTCTAACAAGTGAATACAGAGAACATTATGCTGCATTTAAAACTACATATTTATCTTAGTTGTTCAAGAAATTGAGGCAGGAGGACCATTTGAGCCCAAGAGTTCAGGGCTAGCCTGGGTAACATAGTGAGACCATCTATTAAAAAAAGAAAATTATGTTTAGGGGCTAGGAGTATAATTCAGTGGTAGAGCATGTGCTTAGCATACAAAAGGCCCTAGGTTCAAGCCCCAGCACCAAGTAAATAAAAAAACTAAATAAAAATATTTATTCACTGAACAAATATTTATTGAGCATCTCTACTGAGCACAGTGCTAGAAGCTGTGAGTACAATGGAAAACAAGAATGAAGTATAAACCAGTATGAAGAACACGTTAGCCACAAGGAAAAATGCTTATTTACATGGTAAGGGAGAAAAGACAGATTAAAAAATTTAAAGCACACTAGGATTGCAACCATGAAGCTCTGCATGATAAAGAAAGCAGAAATGATGTTTTGGTGAAGGGCAGGGAACATGGGTTTAAGGCAGTTTAAAAAGTCAGAATGGACATGAAATTCAAGCTCCACAAACAGGTCTTGTGTAAAAATTCTTTTTTAGATAAACAGGTAATAAAGCACATCTTGATGGCAGAGTCTAAAAGGTGGGTACAGTTCAGTGTACCATGTTTCTGTATGTTTGAAAAAAAATTTTTTTTTGGTACCTGGGATTGAACTGAGGGGCACTCAACCACTGAGTCATATCACAGCCCTATTTTGTATTTTATTTAGAGACAGGGTCCCACTGAGTTGCTTAGCGCCTCACTTTTGCTGAGGCTGGCTTTGAACTCACGATCCTCCTGCCTCAGTCTCCTGAGCCACTGGGATTGTAGGTGTGCACCATCATTCCTGGCTGAAAATTTTCATAATAAAATGTTGAAAAAATAAACCAAAATATTTCTGCTCTGTCACTTCTGGTCAGAGATCCCAATGTTGCCAAGCTGTTCGCTATATTATCACACAAATGACTACTAAGATATCTAAGATTCTTCTTTTTTTGAGGTGCTGCGGTTCAAACCCAGGGCCCCATGCATGACATTCCTGAGTTCCAGTTCCATCACTTCTAAGGTTCTGACTTACCTCTGTGAAATGCCAGGTGTAGATTTTTTCCCACTGCCAAGTATCCAGAGGTCTCCAAAGAGAAACTACATATTCACAGGCTGTTATGATACATGGCTCCTTAAAACCAGCTCGTTCCCACCACATGGCACTCACATCCACGGAACAGGAACCAGAAGGATTCTGACCCAGAATGGTAACAACAGTTACGTTAAAGGGATACCTGAGGTCTGTTTCATGAAAAGAATAAATATAAAAAATGACGAATTACAAGGATTAGATGAACTACCAGGTAGTAAAAAGTTTTATGCACATCAAAAGAAAGAGTTCTGTGGATCTTATTTAAAAATACTGCCTATACATGATGTACATGATGACAGATTTAAAACGCGTAACTCCAGGATGGGATAAATTCTTTTTTTTTTTTAAAGGATCAGTGGTTGACAGGGCTTGGTAGGAAAGAGCACGAGAAGGTAGAGAGTGAGAGAGAGAGAGAGAGAGAGAATTTTTAATATTTATTTTTTAGTTTTTGGCGGACACAACGTCTTTGTTTGTACATGGTGCTGAGGATCGAACCCGGGCCACATGTATGCCAGGCGAGCGTGCTACTGCTTGAGCCACATCCCCAGCCCGGGATAAATTCTTATTTAAGCACAAAAGGATAGTTCATGAGAACTTAATAATTTGGTAACATTCTGGTAAGCCACTCATGAGTTGTAGAGGGAGTTACATTGAAATCACATATAATATGCTACCTCTAATTATGATGAAGAAAACACTGTGTATTGAAACCCCCAGAACATTTCCAGGAGAAATTCACAATTGTACACAGATTTACTGAAAAATAGAAAACTAAGGTTAAAAAAAAAAAAAAAAAACGACAAATGAACAGAAGGAAGAAATTTTTATCAAGGATAAAACTGAAATAAGTTGAGAAATGCTAAAAAAATATTCAATTAATACTTAATATAGGGGCTGGGGTTGTGGATCAGCAGTAGAGAGCCTGTCTACCACATGTGAAGCCCGGGATTTGATCCTCAGCACCACATAAAAATAAATAAATAAAGGTATTGACAACTACAACTAAAAAATAAATATTAAAAAAGAATTACTAGGGCTGGGGATGTGGCTCAAGTGGTGGCGCGCTCGCCTGGCATGTGTGCGGTCCGGGTTCGATCCTCAGCACCACATACAAACAAAGATGTTGTGTCCGCCGAACAAAAATATATTAAAATTCTCTCTCTCTTTAATAAATAAATAAATATTAAAAAAAAAAAAAGTTCCTGCCTCTAAGTGGCAGGTATCATTAAAAAAAAAAAAGATTTACTACAACCACAAACTATTTTTTTTTTTTGAAGACCAACAGAAAGGACAAATCTCTTAAATCTGATGTAAGAAAAAAATACTTTAGAAACAGAACATAGGTACAGTATCTTTTTACGATATTTTTTAGTTGTAGATAGACATCACCAAAGTGATTATCTTAGAAGCATACCATCTGAGTAGGAGAGGTATGAACGACTCTTATCTCAGTGTGTCCATCAAAATGCCTGATTTAAATTTAGTCACTATCTTTTTTTTTTTATATTTATTTTTTAATTATCAGCAGACACAACATCTTTGTTTGTATGTGGTGCTGAGGATTGAACCTGGGCCGCACACATGCCAGGCGAGCGCGCTACCGCTTGAGCCACATCCCCAGCCCCTAGTCCCTATCTTGAACTACTTTGCTCTTGGCAGTAGCCTCACATAAACTTTGAGGAAAGCTCAAAATAAAAACACAGGTAAATATTGTAAAAAAAAGAATTCAAATTGTTTTTTTCCCTCTAAATCTCTAATAAGAACAAGATGGTATATGATCAAATTCAATTTTCTTATCAACTCCTTAGATTTTTCACATGTATGTTACAAGACACATAATAACAGAATATTCTTCTGACCTTTAACTTGGAAATCAGTTGTAGGCTGCCCGGGTTTAAGCTGTCACAGGTGGGAAGATCTGCTACTTTAGTCTGTGCAAACAAAAGCCACACCATTAATATACACTTTATGTATAAGGTTGGCCTTCACTCATTCATCAAAATATCTATCTCATATATTATTTTCTCTAATAAGAGAAAAGTTCCAAATGCAACTGTTTCATTGATGGCAAAAAACAGGATCCCCTATGTTTAAAAATATATTTTTTAATTAACCTTAATTTCTCCAGAATGAAATGCACGTTCACAATGAAATCATGTTAAAGAAACAAGTTAAAACATTCTTAAACATCAAGAAGCAATGGTGAGGAAGTCATCCTGTCTGTATTCCCTAAGATATTTTATTCTTTCAGAGAAAACTTCACAAAGGAAACACTTGTACCTGTTCAATGGAATGTTTATGCAACTCCAGGCACCTATTTCCACAGAGTTGATTTTCTCTGAAAGTGAATGACTCAGTGGGTAGAGGTGTTGCTTGGAGGCCAGAGTCATGGTCATGGGCAGGCTGTTCTTGCCTACCTGACACATGCAGGCTGGTTCCCAGTTTGGGTGAGCTGGTGGAACTGTCGTACTGCTTACTGTCACTAGCCAGGCTGACTGTGTCTTCCGGGGTAGAAAGCTGGGATGCAGAGCAAGTTTGTCCAATGACCTTGGCAGATGCTTTTTCACAGTACGCCTGGGAACCAAGGGCTGGAGTAGTGCCTAACATGGGGAGAGCAGATGAACACAGGTCCACAGCGGGTGTACTATTATCGTCAGATGCAGAAGTATTTAAAGGAGTAAAAAGTATCATGGACGAAGAAAGGCCCTTGTTGGTAGGCTGATGTTTTAGATTTGGTATTTGACGATGTGCTTTTCTTAGTATAGCAATAAGGTCCTCTTCTGAGTCCTCCATTTCGGCATCTATTTGTTTAGGACTCAGTTCCTCCAGAACAACACAATTGTCCTCTTTAAGATACCTCTCCTTGCACATTTTTGATTCCAGAGGCTCAATAAGTTTTTCTGAGCAGGACTTCAGTTTTTCAAGCATAAGAGGCCCAAAGTCGTCTTCAGGTAACTGAAAGTCTGTGACATTGAGAAAAGACAACAGTTGCTTTAAACTTAGCATTTCATTTTTATAAAATGGAACACTGAAAGCATCATCCAAAGCTAAATAAGCGTTATTAATGGAAGAGAGGGAGTCCTTTTTTCGACAATGAACTTCCTTCCCTAAAATAGAAAATTAAGCAACAATAGTAACAAAACCCAACAAGAGATATTAATATCTAATAGTGAGTTTTTAAATACTAAATAGTAAAAAATGTTCATTACTTCTCCTACTCATGACTTTGAAACCTTATACAAGGGCTTAAAATAATTACAGAGCCGTGAAAAGTGTCACACGCCTTTAATCCCAGCCATGAAGCAGGCTGCAGAGGGTGGTTAGCAAGTTCGAGGCCAGCTTGAGCAATGTAGTGAGACTTTCTCACAATTTCTTTCTTTCTTTTTTTTTTTTTTTTTTAAGGATTAGGGATGTAGCTTTGAGGTATTGCACTTGCCTAGCATGTACAAGGTCCTGGGTTCAATCCGGTACCTTCCCCCAGCCAAAATAAGAGGTAGGTGGTTAACTAGCAGCTACCCTTTCACAGGACCCCACAGTGTGGTACTGACAGTGCTAAATAGGAGATGGAAGAATGGGGTCAAGTCCCAGCTTAACCACTGACTTACTGTGCAGCTGTGGGTAAGTCAATTTATTTTCCCTTTCAAGCAAAAATTTATTTCCCAGCAGCTTGGTAGGCAAGAGGATCACCAGTTTGAGGCCAGCCTTGGCAACTTAGTGAGACCTACCTCAAAATAAATAAATAAACAGAGAGAGAGAGAGAGAGAGAGAGAGAGAGAGAGAGAGAGAGATAGAGAGAATGAATGTATGTGTGTGCGTGTGCGTGAGCTGGGGCTATAGCTCAGTGGTAAAGCATCTCTGGGTTAAATCCCCAGTACCATTAAAAAAAAACACAAATACAAAAACAACAAAAAACTATTGTTCTTGGGCTGGGGATGTGGCTCAAGCAGTAGCGTGCTCGCCTGGCATGCATGCGGCCCGGGTTCAATCCTCAACACCACATACAAACAAAGATGTTGTGTCCGCCGATAACTAAAAAATAAATATTAAAATTCTCTCTCTCACTCTCTCTTTAAAAACAAACAAACAAACAAACAAAAAAACCATTGCTCTTAAAGTATCTGGGGTCATACACTATTCAAAATGTAGCTGCATATAACTGATGAACCAGTACAAACTGTCATACATATGTATAATGTAATATTCAGTTCTTAAAAAAAAATTAAGAATAAAGTACTGATACATGTTACATTGTCTATGTATTCTGAAAACATCATAAGTGAAAGCTGTTAGACCCAAGGGTCACATAGTAATTCTATTTATATGAAATATCCACAGTAACTAAGTTCACAGAGATAACAGATTGGTAGCTGGGGGAAAGGTGATAGAAAGCAGATGCTTAATAGGTATGGCATTTCTTTCTGAAGTAATGAAAATATTTTGGAACTAAACAGAAATGGTAGTTGCATAACATTTGTATGCAACTAAATGTACTAAATGCTACAGAATAGTTCATTTAATTTAAAAAAGTTAATTTTAGCTTATGTTAATATCACCTTCAGAAAAACTTTTTTAAAAAAAATGTAGCTGTAGGTTACTAAAATCCCAGTGGAGCATTTTGAAATATAAAGAAGAACATTTCTAGATTACTGGCGTGCATACTTCTTGATTTTTTTGCATTCTTGTTGACGTCAAAGAAGGAAAAAAGTCATGATTATTATTTTAATTTAATAAATTACAGATCACACACTAAAGTCTATGTTCAAAGGTACAGAGCAGCCCGCTGCCTACTTTTGTACACAAAGTTTTATAGGAACAGTCCCAATTACATATTGCCCACGGCTGCTTTTGCAGGACAGCTGAGTACTTAAGGTGGAAAGAATAAAACTTGGTCTATACAGGGTGTTTGCTAATAACTTACTTAAAGCCACAGTGATAATCCAGTTTTTATGCTCAGTTTATCAGATATGATTAACTCTTGAGAAAATGAATAAAGCTAAAATTACAATATATCCTTGCTTGTTATCCTCTAAAATCTTATCCTTTTGATTACATGATCACTTCTAATAGTTGTTCAATAGAGGCTCACTCTAAAACACACTTCTGTTTATTTCAAAACACTGTCTATATTAGTAGTATGCAACAACAGTAAGAATAACAATAACAATAATAAAACCTTTGATAAGCACCAAATTTAATTTCCTTTTCAGTGTTGATTGACTTTTTCAAACATATGAGTGAACTCTAGTACCACACTGCCAGGTTTCAATCTTGGCACTGTTATTTCAATTAAATTACATTAATTAAAGTTGTTTTAGTCTCCCTGTGCCTTACTTTTTCCTTAACTGAAAATGAAGATAAAAATAGATTCTGCCTTATGTAGGGAAGCTGTGGTGATCCAATGAGCAACCGCACAGCATTCAGAAAAGTGCCAGGCACAGTAATTATCAGCTATCATCATTGTCATCAAACACAACCTAATTTACCTTGAACTCTCTTCTTACCATGAATAATGGCTTTTTCATTCTGCTGCCTGCCCAAGGTGACTTCTTCCTTGGATCTGTTAACACCCAATGTGCTGAAAATTGGCCAAATCAGTTCACTATGACCTAGTGCTGGGGTGCAGACTGATTTCCTTTTTCCTCTGTGTCTTCTACCAGATGGCTGCAAAAGAGCCCTCCTAGAACAGTTGTTATCTTCAGTGGACCCAGGGGGAGAGCTGATGTCAGGGGGAGAGAGAAGCTCCTGAGGACTTCTTGAGATTGCTTGTCCTGTGCCTGTGTCCAAAATCTCAGTTTCACTCTGGGCACTATTTTCATTGGAAGGGTTTAAATTTTTAGGTGCTTCCTTACTTTTATTTTTAAACTCCTTCTTCCTGCCACCCAAGTGATTTTGAATTACAGCTTCTAGGGCTACTTTCTTCTGGCAATTGGACATGCGACGTGTTGTTCTAACATAGTATTCCGCCGGAAACAAAAGGCCTTCAAGCACTGTGCAAGAATGTATTTGATTTTCTGTAGAAACAGAAGGGACTGCTTCCGGGCTAAGACTCTTAGATTGACTTAGAACCTCATTTTCTTGAAGATTTTCATTTCTATCACTAAAAGCATTAATGGTAGATTCCTTGGTGTGATTTTGTTCTTTTAAGTTTTGCTTTATCTTTGCTGGTAAGTTATTATAAGGGAGTTCACTTGCAGAACATGAATTATCTGCCTCTAATGAAGGACTTCTAGGCAGCTGGCCAGTGGTGCCTGCAGCTTTATTTACTACTGTGCTATCTGGAGAGACAGTCATTTGGTGGCCTTGTACCTCCGGGTTTATGGGTGAAGTAAGGCTAATGTTTTTAAACCCCTGAGTAATGAGTTCACAATTACCTTTAGGAGGCATATGTTCAAGGTACTCATGATTACTGTTATCTGGTATAGTATGCAAAGGATCTTCAGTGTTATTGGAGAAATTATTTCCTTTAAATGGGGTATCAACTCTTTCTGATTTGGCATTTGATGGAATTAATATATTCTCTCCATCAGTTTCTACAAGTGGTGCTGGAGAATCTGGAATTTCAGACTTACAACTTGAAAGGGAGGGTATTTCAGTTATTGGTGACCTAGGATTTTTGCTACCGATTGCTTCCTGTTTCTTTAGTCTTTTTCCAGAGAGTATGAGTGAATCAGTGTCAAAGAAACATTCGCCCTCCTGTGAGACATGTGCTCTCTTTGGCTGCTTCTTTCTTCTCCCTGGAAGCTTACTCTGCCTTTTCTCACTATCAGGGCCATTTGCCCTGTAGGGACAATGTTCTTGGATGTCATCCATTCCTGAAACACGTAATCCTTCTTCTGGGCCATCTTCAGGGTTAAAAGACTCAGGCTCAGCAGCAAGTGTTATAGGTGTCTTTTCTCCAGTGTTGCCATCCAGACGGACATTGATTTGTAACTCCTTATAAGGAGATCCTTCATTTTTAGGTTCTAAGAGGGAAAAATATATACAAATATTATTTTCCTTTTAAAATGAAACAAAAAATACCCCATTTTTATTTAAAAATCTATAGTGATAGAGTGCTTGCCTAGTATGCATGAGGTCCTGGGTTTAATTCCCAGTTCCAGGAAATTATAAATAAAAACAAAAATTATAGTGTATGTATGTACATATACATACATACACTATAATTTTTATTATATATATAGACAAACACACACGCAAACATTCATTTGGGAAAAAAATCAATGGCATTACATTTTAGGCAGGATTCAAGTTTTAAAAATTCTAATAAAGTACAGAATTATAAACAAATGTAAACAAATATAATTATACTGAAAAGGTGCTTTTTAAAATGGAAAGATTTTTTCTTTATCACAATTATGGTTTCTCTTAATTTAAAAAAAATTCTATTAATTTCTTTTGATGCTGGGGACTGAACCCAGGGCCTCATGCATGCACCAGCTGAGCAATGCCCCCAGCCCCTCACCTGTTTTGTGTGCATGTACTTATTTATTGTGAATACTGGGGACTGAAACAAGGACCTTACACATATTAGGCAAGTGTTTCATCACTGACATATATTCCCAACCCTTTTTTTTCATACATTTAACTGAGACAGAGTTTAACTAAATTGTCTGGACTAGCCTCAAACTTGTGATCCACCTGCCTCAACTGTCCAAGGAGCAGCAATTACAGGCATATGCCACCAGACCTGGCATCTTCTTTTCTTTTTCTCAAGTAATTTTAACATTACTTTCTCATTTCAAAAGCCCCTAATTTTACGATTAAAAATTACTTGAATTCTGACACCAAAAATGACTAGTTTTTTAGAGTACTTTTAATCTAAACTTTTTTCTCTATGCACATGTACATACATCTTTTTACAAAATCATCTTTATGTTAAACAATATGAAACCTGAGGGAAAAAAAGAGCAATTGAATAAACAACTATATGTATAGTTTTTTGCTCACAGAATGGGAAACAATACTAGCAAATCATATCTGATAGGAACTTAGGCAGAATCCCTACAACTCAACAACACAAAGACAACCTAGGTTGGGGATGTAGCTCAGTTGGTAGAACATTCACATAGCATGCATAAGACTCCGAGTTTAATCCTCAGCACCACAAATAACATAACTAATTAAAGATATTAAAAAAATAAAATGAACAAAGAATTTGAATAGAGATACTCCTAAAGAAGATATACATATGACTACAAACACACGGAAAGATGTTTAATATCATTGTCACTAAGAATTCTCTACCTAATAATAAAATATATATATAAACTTATATATGGATATTTATTGCAGAATTATTCATAATATTCAAAAGTGGTAACAACCCAAATATTCACTAATTGATGAATGGATAAACAAATTGTACATATTCAATGGAATACTAATCAGCTGTTAAAGGAACAAAGTACTGACAGAAACAAGGATAAATGTATGGATGGATGCACACTGAAAACATTAAGTAAAAGAAACCAAATATAAAATCCCACATATCAGGGCTGGGTCTGTAGCTCAGTGGTAGAAATGCATGCATGAGGCACTGGGTTCGATCCTCAGCACCACATAAAAATAAAGATATTGGATCCATTTACAACTAAAAAATATATATTAAAGAAAAAAACCCACATATTTTAAAAATTCCATTTCCACGGAATTTCTGGGGTAGGCAAATTCAGAGACAGAAGTAGATTAATTCCCAGGGATTGGGACTAGGAAGGAGTAGGGAGGGCTGACAATGGGTACGGAGTTTCTTTTTGGGGTGATGAAAATGTTCTTGACTTAAGTGATTACAGTTTTCACAGTATTTGTGGATATGTAAAGAACCACTGATTTGTACAATTAAAAGGCACTCTACCACTGAAGTACACTCCACCTTGTCTAGCAAATGCAAGGAGGCTCTGGGTTTGATCCCTAGCCAAAAAAAAAAAAAAAGTTAAGTTTTATTAAAAAAAAAAATCCTTCTAATATTTAAACGTGAAATTGGTTTTTCAACATTGAGGAGGGAACGAAAACTAAATAAACATTTCAACTCAAATATAGTTTATTGCTTGAATTTTATGGTAAAATGTGTTGCTTCTTATCTGCTGGCTGTGGAAAAGGATAGCTTAATGTTCCTGGAAAATTATAGTAAAACAAGTATAAATAAGTAGGCTGGATTTACCTGAGTGGTTTAGCTGTGATGAGATTTCTTGCTGGAGCGAGCAATCCTGTTCTACTGTTTTCTTAACAGAATTCTTAACCTTCTCAGCTCTTTGGGCACGCTGGAGAAAACAAAAGCAGCTCAAGAAATACCTTCTTTTTAATGCTTCATTACCGTTGAGAACTATTTTGATATATTTTGTACTACACCTTTATCTGAGAGACTACGATTCACCTACCTGAAGGCGGGCCAGTGTCTTGCTGTATTCCCTTTTCAAGAAGGCTAATTTTTCCTTCAACTGGAAGAAGAAAAAACACCAACAACGCTGAGCAGTGGAAAGGTAGAGACACAGTGCCTATCAGATAGGGGTCAGCGGTGCTCAGTGGGGTGGGGTTTCTCAGCAAGACGCAGGGAGGGAGTGGGTCTGGCCCACATAAATCTACTCTCAGCTCTCAAAAGCACCAAGCTCTTTACTCTTAGAATCTTTGCACAAACTGTTTCTTTCACCCAGAGCATGTCCCCCTTTTGCCAATTCATCCTAATTCCTTTAAGCCTCAGCTTAGATTTTTACTTTCCTGGGATAGACTTCAAGTTCTTCTCCAAATCCAGATTAGGCACTCCATTCCTCTCTGTGCTACCCTTATCACGGTATTTACAGTACCAACTATGTTGTCTGTTTAATTCTGATTCTTTTCTCCCCACTCCCATGAGATTCTTGAAGGTGGCAGGAGCTGTCACCCTATAGTCATTCAATAATCATTCTCATCTGCTAATGGTCCAGGTATCTCTAGCACCTGGAATATAACTGATATTCACTAGCATCAGTGGGTATCAGTTATCTCAAGTGCTAGAGTGGTCAATGCAATTTACACTCAGTTAAGGGTACAGATAATATACAAGAAAACAGATAAGATTTCACAGGGTAATAAGTACCTAGATAAACTGGGTGATAAAAATGGTTAGGGAGGCATTACTGAGGAACACCATTTCAACTGACTGACTTGCCCTGATTGAGGAAGTCAGCTTTGGGAAGATCAAGGGGACAGATATTCTGGACAGCAAGAACCACAAATGTGAAAGCTGCATGGTGGGATGGGATAAGTTATTTGAGGAGCACATAGAATGAGGAATTCCCAGACAGGCACACAGTAGATATTCAACAGAGATCCATTAAAAAAAAAAAAATAATGAATTGAGCTGAGTCAAATTATCATTCTCTAAAAATCTGGGTTCTCTTTGTCTCTCTGGCTTTGGTGGTTCAAAGGATTCTGAGCTGCAAAGCCACGTTTTTGTGTGTGTGTGCTTTCTAGGAATTTTAAAGGCACTCATCCTTCCAAGATCATGTAGTTTATAAATGGCACCATTTAAACTTAAGTAGCAGGGCTCTAGTTGATGCACTTAGCTCTCTATGCCACCCTGCTTTGCACCAACCTTATCAAGTGCTGGGAGTTATCTTGTTTACTTGTAAATTATCTTTTCACCTCCAAGAGCAGTTAAGCAAGGCTAAGAAGACTGATGAGTTAATGTGAATGAATTTAGTACACTTTTAGCACAGTCAGCAGGAGATGCAATCAAGTTAACAGCAGCACAAGAACCTGGAAACAAGCTAGAAGCCGCTAAGCAGATTAATATTTAAAGAAACAAGGTCACTTCCAAACTACACCATCCTCACAGAACTTTTTTTTTTTTTCTTTTAAATAAGGTAAGTGAGGGGCTGAGGTTGTAGCTCACTGGTAGAGCACTTGCCTAGCACGTGTGAGGCCCTGGGTTCGATCCCCAGCACCGTGTAAAACTAAATAAACAAAATAAATGCATTGTGTCCATCTATAACTAAAAATATTTTTTAAAAATAAGGTAAGTGAACATGTCCTAACATGGATATTAAAAATGGGCAAAAACAGAACTTGCAGAACCATTCAGATCATGCACTTATGAACATTCTCCTCCTTAAGAAGTACATATGACTTTTTGGTGGCTCCTACCACCACACACACACACACACACACAGATCTGGATGTACACGGGCGTGGGGTGCAGGAAATCCAGATTCAGATGTGGGCGTGGGGAGGAGGAAGGATGTCCAGGGGGACTCAAGCTTTATCCCCGAAGCTGTGCACTTTGTATTTAGGCATTGCTACTGTAGTGAAAATGGATCTTGTTTAAACGCCACCACGTGAGCACCGCGCCGGCCCTCCACACTCTCACTTCCGGTGCCCCCGCAACCCTAACAGAAGAGTGGATCCGTGGAGGCTGCTGCCTCGGACAGGGGAGGAAACCAGACCAGGCCGAAAGTCCTAGGCAGCGGGTCAGAGTCCCGCGTCAGCCCTCCCCACGCCCGTGGCACCTTTTCCTTCTCCGCACAGCTGAGGGGCTTCCCGGAAGGCTCTTCCATTGAGCTGGAGGCCAAGCGAAAACAGCAGCCCCGGCCCTGCGGACGCGGGGACCCAGTTGGACCTAGGTCCAGGAGGCACCCCGGGAAGGAATAGGGAGCCGGGATCCCCTCAGCACGCGATCAGCTGGCCCACTCGAGCTCAGCGCGCGCCCTCAATTCCGGCCAATAAAAACACACCTCTCGGCCTGCGCGTGCGCAACCCGGGATTGCCGAGCAATACAGCGCGGGGTCGTCTAGAGGAGAGCCGAGCTGTCGATGAGACCCGAGTCCCCAGGAGAGCGGAAGTGGAGGAGCAGCCGGAAGTAGCCGGAATCTCCGACTGACCGCCGGGCTTTGACGCGCTCCGGAGGTGCCCAGAGGCGGTGGCGGCCATGGAGTTGGGCGAGCTCCTCTACAACAAGTCCGAGTACATCGAGACGGTACGCTGTTCGGACATCTGCCCTCCGCTTCCTAAGACTGGGTCCCTTTGAGGCCTGGCGGGCAGCCGCATCCTATCCCTGCCCCACCCACCCTGGGTCTCTTTGGCAGTTCGTCGCTTGTTACCTAGTGTCGCTTCGGGTGTCATCTGATTCTGTTATTTAGTCTGTGCATGGCTGGTTTGGGCTGTGTGCATTGATTCTATTCATGATATGTCTTTGAAATGCTGGTGACAGAGCAAGTGACCATGTGACTGTTATTTTGGTTTTCTGTGCTTTCTGATAGCTCAATGATAATGGCAAAGTCGTTAGTTATCCTCGTTATAGGATTCTAAAACTGAACTATGAAATTGGGACTCGAATCCTCTTTTCTGTCTGATGTCACTAAGCTACAGAAGTACAGATTATTGATCCATTCGCTGAATCTTTAGGTAGCTAATCCACTCTAGCTTTTTTGGTACCCTGAATTTTCATTCCATTTTAGACTGCACTCTATACTGTGCAATATGAGCCTTTTCCTTTCTTGCTTTCTTTTATTGTTGAGACAGGGGTCACGCTATGTTGCCCAGGCTGGTCCAGGACTCCTCAATTCAAGCAATCCTCCTGCCTCAGTCTCCCAAGTATCTGGGACTATAGGCACAGGTCACCGTGCCCCACTCCAGTGAGTTTATGGAATCTGTAAGCCCAGAAACCCTCTCAGTTTCCTCACTCTGGGTGGTCTGGTTTTGTTTGGTACATCAGACTGAACCTTGCCGATGGTCTTCATCACTGAGCTACACACCTAATCCTCCCCCCTTTTTGACACAGCTAAGCTGGCCTGGAATTTTCAATCCTCCTTCCTCAACCTCTTGAGTGTCTGGGATTACAGGTTTTCACTATTGCAGCTGGCTTACCCCATTTTATGTTTCCTTTTAGGCATCTGGGAACAAAGTTAGTCGCCAGTCAGTGTTGTGTGGAAGCCAGAACATCGTTCTCAATGGCAAGGTAAGGGACAAAGCCTGCTCCAGGATGTACACCTTGCTTTCTTTCCACTGATTATCATGTTAGCAAGATAGACAAAATGTTGCAACATCTCCTGTTTATTGTTGTACATTTTCAGTTCTCTTTTTTCTCCAGATTTGATTTTTAAAATTTTTTAAAATATATGTATTTTTTGTTTGTAGACGGAATTTATTTTTTATGTGGTGCTGAGGATCGAACTCAGTGCCCCACATGAGAAGTGAACACTCTACCACTGAGCTGCAACCTCAGCCCCCAGAATTGACTTTATTGAATGCAAAAAAGTTTCAGTAAAAGAAAGCAACAGAAAACCCTTTTTCTTTTATGCCAGAAAATAATACAGTGGTACTCAGAATCAAAATTATTGTACAATATTGTAGTGTGCCCTACACCACTGGACACAAAACATAAATAGGCAATAAAACATTTTAAGGTAGAAACTAAAGTAAACTTGCCAAATTATCTGATTAATGATAATTAATAGTTGAATGTTAACTGAGACATAAAATTAATGTTTTTAATGTCTGTGAAATGCTGGTGACAGAGCAAGTGACCATGTTACTTGCTGTTTCAAAATAAAAAGGGCTCACCTCACATGTGCGAGGCCCTGGGTTCAATCCTCAGCACCACATAAAAATTAAAAAAAAAAATGTATATCTGAAAAAGAATATACTCTTTAAAAAGTTAATGTGAGAAATAAGAAAGATATTAAAATATGAGAAAAATGCAAAGTAGAATCTGAAAGTCTTATAATCTTGTAATCTAAATAGATTGAATTAGCAAAGGGATTAGTATAAACCTAGGAAGAGTATTAGAACATTTCAAAACCAGAGAAAATACCAGAAGATACATTGAAGCTTCACAGACTCTGAAGCCCATAGTTAATTTCTTGTCATCTGAGACACACAGACTTTTGCTGTTGTTTTTATTTTTTTCATACTGGAAATTGAACCCGGGGATGCAGTTTTATCACTGGCCACATCCCCAGCCCTTTTTATTTTGAAACAGGGTCTTTTGAAACAGTTGCTTTGGGCTTCACTAAATTGCTGAGGCTGGTCTTGAACTTGTAATCTTTCTACCTCAGCCTGCTAAGTCACTGGGATTACAGCCATTGTGCCCCTCATGAGCCACACAGTATTGAAATTTACTTCCCTTTAAATGTTGCATCTGTAACTTCCAGAGGAAAAAAAAGTTGAGAATATAAGCTTAACTATAACTAAGAAATCACAAGTATGTTCCAGTAGAAACACAATTAATGTCTGTGAAATGCTGGCGATAGCAAGTGACCATGTTACTTGCTGTTTCAAAATAAAAACCCACTATATTATGAGATTTAATGGAAAATAAATAGAGTTTAGTAATTCCTGCTTAGACATACTGTTCCTGCAGAGAATTAGAAAATTCAGCTTACTCCCTCTGACTCATTAGCAAATATGTGAAGGTTTTTTTTAAATCTCTAAGCTAATTCTGAAGCATTTTCTGTTACTGTAGGGAAGAATTATTTTCTTGTGATGAAATAGATATTTAAAAATAGCCATCCTAACCATTTTTATTATTTATTTATTTTGCTGTGCTGGGAGTCAAAACCAGGGCCTCATGCATGCTAGTCAAGTACTGTACCACCGAGCTTAACTACCTTTCATTCTTAGCCCCATTTTATTTATTTTTAAGTATATAATTAATGAATATAATTAATTATATTCATGATGTTGTACAATCCCATTATCATTATCTATTTCCAAAACTTTTTTTTATCTCCCCAGATAGAAACTCTGCACCCTTTAAGGACTAACTCCCCATTCTTCCCACTCCCCAGTCTTTGGTAACCTCAGTATACTCCATCTACTTTCTTTCTTTCTTTCTTTCTTTTTTTTTTAATGCGGGGATTGAACTGAGTTTCACATATGCTAAACATGAGGCATACTACTGAACTGTTGCCCCCTAGCCACTTAATCTACTTTTTGTCTCTAAGAATTTCCCTGTTCTAGATAATTCATCTGATAGAATCCTTTTGGACTGGATTATTTCACTTAGCATAATCTTTTCAAGGTTTATCTATGTTGTATCACCTCAGAATCTTTTCCCTTTTCATATCTGAATAATATTCCATTGAGTGTATATTCCACATTTTGTTTATCCATTTGTCTCTGAGTGACACTGGGTTGTTTCTCCCTTTTGGCTCTTGTGAATAATGCTGCAGTAAACATTGGTGTACAAGTATCTGTTTGAGACCTAGCTTCAGCTGTTTGGGGTGTGTATCTAGGAGAGGAATTGCAAGGTCAAGGGGTGATTCTGTGTTTAATTTTTTGAGTAATTGCTTAACTGCTTTTCACAGTGGCTGTACACCATCTTATATTCCTACCACCAATGTACAGGATTCTGGTTTCTCCACGCACGTCCTCACCAGCACTTGTTATTTTCTGGTTTTTGAATGATAGCCATTCCATTGGGTAGGAGGTAGTATCTCATTTTGGTTTTGTGTTTCCCATATGATTACTGATGTTGAATGTATTTTCATGTGCTCATTGGCCATTTGTATATTTTTTTTTAGGGAAAAGTCTGTTCAGTCCTTTGCTCATTTAAAAAATTGTGTTGTTGGGGCTGGGGGTATGGCTCAAGCGGTAGCACACTCGCCTGGCATGCGTGCGGCCCAGGTTCGATCCTCAGCACCACATACAAACAAAGATGTTGTGTCTGCCGATAATTAAAAAATAAATATTAAAATTCTCTCTCTCTCTCTCTCTCTTTAAAAAAAAAAAATTGTGTTGTTGGGGCTGGGGTTGTGGCTCAGTAGTAGAGTAGTCGTCTAGCATGTGTGAGGCCCTGGGTTCGATCTTGCACCAAATAAAAATAAGTAAATAAAATAAAGGTATTGTGTCCAACTACTTCTAAAAACCCAAATATTTAAAAAAAAAATTTGTCTTTTTTTTTGTTGTTGAATTGTAGGAGTTTTCTTTATATTTGTGTCCTTGACAATGTCCTTTGATAAAAGTCTTAACATTTTTTTTCTTTTTGGTGGGGGGGAGTAGTGGGGATTGAACTCAAAGGTACTGAACCACATCCCCCCCACTTTTTTTTTTTTTTTTTGTGCTGGGGATTGAACTCAGGGCCTTGTGTATGCAAGGCAAGCACTCTACCAACTGAGCTATATCCCCAGCCCCTGTTTTTGTTTTGAGACAGGGTCTCACTAACTTACTGCAGACCTTGTTAAGTTGCTGAGGCTGGCCTCAAACTCATGATTCTCCTGCCTCAGCCTCCCAGGAAGTGGGGATTATAGGCAGGTGCCACCACACCCAGCTAACAGTTTTTAATTTTGGTAAAGTTCAGTTTATCTACTTTTTCTTTTGTTGCTCATGTTTTTGGTGTCATATTTAAGAATCCATTGCCAAATCTAGAGCATGAAGTTTTCTTCTAAGAGATTTATGGTTTTATCACAACTGGTTGTCCATTTTGAGTTAATTTTTGTATAGAGTGTAAGGTGTGGGGGGGTCCATCTTAATTCTTTTGGATATAGAAATACAGTTGTCTCAGCCCATTGGTTGAAGACACTAATTCTTTTCTTATTGAAAGGTCTTAGCACTCTTTTGGGTGTGTGTGTGGTACTGGGGACTGAACCTAGTGTGCTCTACCACTGAGCTACATTCCTGACCCTTTCTAGTTTCCTTATTTTGAGACAGAATCTCTCTAAGTTACAGGGGCTGGACTTAAATCTGCAATCTTTCTGC